TTTTTCTTTTTTCTTTTTTTCTTTCTTTTTTCTTTTCCTTCCTCCCTTTCTTTTTTTTTTTTTTTTTTTTTGTCAGTTGGGGGTATCCGGGCCTACACCCGACTAGTCCCCCAACCCCAAGGAGAGCGGGCCCCACCTTCCTCCCTTTCTTCTCCTTCTCCCACCCCCTTCCCTTCCCTGTTCCCCCTCCCGAGACGTCCATGGCAGAGACTTCCAGGTGATTCCTTTTTTTATTTTTTTTTTTTTTCTGTTCCCTTCTCCCTCCTCCGCCACCCTCCCTCTCCCCCTCTCCCCTCCCCCAGCCTCTCCCTCCCCCGCCGCCCCTCCTCCCTCCTTCCCCCGCCTCCCCTCCCATTTCCTCCCCTCCCCAGCCACCCTCCCTCTCCCCCGACGCGATCTGGTCGGGACCTTCCCTCTCACGTTCCCCTTCCCCCCGCCGCCCCTCCCCTTTCCCTTCCCTCTCATGCGATCTGGCCGGCAGCTATGCATTAATTTTTTTTTTGAGCTTTTTCTCTCCCTCCCCCCCTCCCCTCTTCCCCTCTCCCTCCTCCGCCACCCTCCGCCAAGCCTGCATCTCCTTTTTCCCTTCCTTACCGGTTTCGTGCAATATTATCAGCAAGTAGCTAGTGTAATAATTGAAATTTGTGTTTTTTTTTTTTTAAAAAAAAGACAACAAATGAGTGTTTATGGCAGGGGATCAGGAGCAAAAGGGGAGAGCCGCCGGACAAACCCCCCATTCTTCCCCCAAGAAACCCAACCAACCTGAATACCCAAAAATCACGAATTGATCAGAAGGGAACTGGGGAGGTGTGGCTAGCTAGCGTTTGTGTAGGCATTGACAGAGAAAGAGCAAGGTTTTTTTTTTTTTTTTTTGGGCGGGGGCATGGGGCGTGGGGGTAGTAACAATGACAGTGCCCCAAGAGAGGTGGTGGGGGTGGTGGCTGGTGTGGTGGTTGGGTGAGGGAGGAAGAAAAGTTTTTGGGAAATTTTTTGTGTATTTTTGAAGTGTGTAAGTAAAAAATTTTGAAAAGGTTTTTTGGGTTTCTGTAATAAAAGTTGTTAAAAAATTAGTAGCTAAAAAATTTGGTAAAAAATTAGGGTGCCAAACAGGCCCTAAATGTGATTAAAAAAAAGCAGCTAAACAATAATATGAAAACTTTTAGGATTATTAGGCCTGATTTAGTATGTCAATGATGGTCAATATCATAAGCAAACTCTTCTTGACTGTTTTCTTCCAATACTGGCCGAATTATTGTATGCCTAGCCAAACAATCTTTGTTTATTTGTTTATCCTTGCATCATAAATTGTTTGAGCAATTGCTTAAAAATATGGATTCTTTTCCAAAAGACAGCTTCCGTAGTCATCTTTATGATGATTAACAAATATGCTCGAGTAGGATGAGGACAATAAGGATGAACATACATGTGATTTCATGGTTCATGGTTATGAGATAAACTCAATCTCTATTTAATTTTCCATGCCCCTTAAACTTTTCTCTTACTGAAAATCACAAATGGGTAGCCAATCATGCGCATGGAGAACTTCGTGTTTCTTGTATGTTGGATTATCATTTCAGTGACTTGTTCCACCTCTTTCACACCTGATGATGAATGTCATATTGTTCATTTCCCTACCTCTTAATAGTTGTTGAGCATCCTTTGAACAAAGCCGTCTTACCAACACTAGAGGTGGCAATATGGATAAATGGTTCATAATTGGTTTTGACTTAATGGATGGTGGATGAAATTTATCCAATCCATTTAAATCCATTTAATAAATGGATCTAAATGGATGGATCTAAATGGATTAAATAAAAACCAATTATCCATTTATAATCCATTTAAATATTTTGGTTACTTTTTTTTTGTATTACCATTTCTTGTAATATGAAGATACTTTTTTATGTACTCGTAAATTTTAGGTGTAGTTGGATGAGAAAGATGGCAAAATACTTAGATTTTTCATTTAAGAATTTAGGTAGTATTTTGGTCTAATTTAAGAACAATTGGTCTAATTTGGTTACCGTAATTTATAAATAAAATTTTCAAATGTTATTTAACCTATATCATAAATATAATTTTTAATTTTTTTTATCTCATACACGTCATGTCACAAAAAATTTATAATATTCTTTCAAATACAACCAGTGATTGAAAAATTTTTTGGGTTTAAATTAAAGAAACAGTGAGGGAACCCAGCTAGGAATAGGAGGGAAGGTTATGGTGGGGGACCAAAAAGGGGGGGTTCCCAAATTGAGTTTGTTGATGCGGTCCGCCGCATGATTGGGGAGCATGGGGGACTACACAGTCTACACTGTCATATATTTCTTGCTTGCAAGTTTTGATTATGATTGGCTACTTTTATTTGGTTTTTAAATAAATGGATATATGTGGTTTTCGTGGATAATCCATATAAATCCATTTAATTTAATGGTTTTACTTTGGTCAACCATTTAAAACCAATACCATAAATGGATAATCCAAATCCATTTAATTATGGATTATATGGATGGATAAATGAATTTCAATCCAAATTGCCACCTCTAACCAACACTATTTAGAGGTTCTTCGTGGAATCTCCAAGTTGTTTCGACAATAGAGGGTACCACTATATATTATCAATGGTATTATTGTCACACATTTAGTCCATATCATATAACATGTATTCTGTTTAAAAAGAGAAAAGTTGATCCAGAGTACCATGAGTGCTGATAGCAAACAACATAAAATAGAAAATGAACCACATTCTAAAAATTAACAAAAAGGGATCTTAGATAGTGAAATACTTAATAAAAATTTCTTTTGAAGTAATAGAGTGCCAAGATGAGATTACAATATAAAGTCTGATCTCTTTATATTAGCATAGACTACTACTTTAGTTATTGAGGCTGCTTAATCTGTAACATGCTAAACCAACCCTCAATTGCAATGTAACTTTATTAGCCATTTGCTTGGATCTAAGTTGCATAAATGGATGTCTAGATTGCATTTCCTAAACAAATCTTGTTCTCGTTCCCTGTAATCATCTTTGAGTAGTAGCTAATTTAGAATGCAAAAAAAGTGGGTTCATATTTGAGAAAGAAAGAGACTTGTTCTCAAAATATCATGGCTAATTACGTACAAATATGCTTAATTCACAACATTAATGTCTCAAATAGTACTAAAACCACAAAATATCCCAAGAAAATGAAATTCTTCATTATGTGAGAAAATAAAATTTAAAGGTTAGCTGTAAAAAAAAAAGATTTTCTAATGAGTTTGAACTGAAAATTACTTCTTCCTACTGTAAGGTAGGATGTTCTGAGGAGAATGGCAATTAGTTCTAGGATTTTTTTTTTAATTGGATATGAAGAACAAAGTGTTGCAATGGGTTTTAATTTTAGGAGAAATTGACCAATTCTATTTTGCTCCCCAAGATAATGGAAAATTGTTTCTCACCCCTATTTGACAGAAGTTTTTTGTTTCTCTTTGGACCTGGCTGTAGTTCCTATACTATCCTTGATTTTTTTGGTTGTTTTTAAGCCGGAAATACTTTATTGGTTGCATCATCATACAAGGATCAAATTGGATACAGAATTAAGTGATGTTACAAAAGAAGATGGAGGAAAAAACGTGGATAGAGGCCATCATCTCTACCTCATGGGAACTAGAGATCACCCGAAGGATGCCTTCGGTATCCAGGGGTCATGCAAAGGTTGGTGATGGGGCAGAACAATGATGGGTGACAAGTGAAACTCAAGGTGAGTGATTTGGGAATATGATGGATGCCGAATATCATGTGAAGCAGACAAGACTAATAAAAATTTTAGCAATGTAGTCCCAGGGTAAACTCTTGAAGATGCTCTGGAAAACTGCTTCTTGTTTGTTATAGACTTATAGCGAGACTACTGTAAAAATATGTGTTTGTGATTTTAGTAATTGTTGATGCTTCCATCATTTATAAAAGGGCAAAAAACACTTTACCACCTTTAGTTTTGCAATTTTTCACGTAACCTCTCTATGCTTTCAAAAGTTATACATAACCTCCTTATAGTTTGGATTAAAGTGTTAAAATGACAAACTCTACATTCCATAACGGAGTTCACTGAAATGTCAAAAGTACCCCTATATGAAGTTGAAAATTATTTATTAACCACGAGAGACTATACATGTATTTTGAAAACCATAAAAGGGTTATAGTAAAGTACTAAATTATAAGGGGGTAATATGGTAAAATATAAAATCATAAGGGGGACGGGGGGTTATATGGTAAAATATAAAGGCATACCGGGTTAAAGTGTCATGTATAATATGTTTATATATTGTAATCACTTTAACCACTTGAATTTTCAAACAAGGATAATTTTAACATTTTTATGGGTTCTATTACAGAGAATCATTTCCTTCATTTTGACGCTTTAGTCTAAACTATGAATGGTTATGTGAAAAATCGCTAAATCACAGGGCAGTAAATGCAATTTACCATTTATAAAAATAATCAAGATCAACTCCTAAACCAAGAATTCAGCAGCACAACACATGGAAATGCTTGATACAAAAGCTTATTAATAATTAATTCTACACAGCGAGAAAAGATGAACAAAAAACTGACTCTATCGTTTTCTTGCTCTGACCCAATTTTCAAACACAATAATAAGAAATTTGACAAGTGTTCAAGAGTATAGTACAAATCCTCCATCAAGCAAGTCTTTAAGTTGAGAATAGTCAATCAATTCTCAAATAATTATCGAATTAACCTCCACAAATATTCTTTTTTTTCAACACCCCATCAAGATATTAACGGACTCAAATAACTTATGTTCACCTTCTTGGCTCATACAAATCTGTAAGATAATTGGCTATAGGGCTTGGCTTTTACATACATAGTAGGTTGCGAGAACTAGCAGGGTTGGGTGGGAAGCTAGTAGGACGAAGAGAGGGATAATAGAAAATGGACTTGAAAAACAAAAGAAAATGAAACAAGGAAGGACCGTTACATAACCACAAATAATTTAATCAAATATGAAGGACCACTTTAACAAAGAAAGTTTTATACAATGCGACCAATATGTAAACAAAGAATAATTCTTGCATTATGAATACATGTTGGTAACCAACATATGTTTTGGTAACATTTGAAGCAGATTTTTTGAAAGATACGAAACATTTTGGTAACCAACATACGCCCTGGTCTTGATGAGCTCATCTACACTTCTTATAGTTGGTTGGAGTTGTTGTACTGTTAACCTTGTTGTAAGGCTGGCTGTATAGCTCTGGGTAAGTACAAACACAACTAGGAACCAGATGACCAGCACGAACCTGGCCAAATTACTTACTATTTTCTCCTCTATGAAAAACAGATAAATAAACAACAGAAGAAATTTCAGTAAACACCCAACACAAAAGTCAAGATTACATGATTTTGTAAGTTTAGAAACACGTTGATTTCCCTACAATTTCATGAATTTTTTTTTCTAAAAGATGTGGAGTTACCAAGTAAAGACAATAGGGCATGAATATTATTACAAACCAAAACTACCAAAATACAGGGAAGAAGGAAAGTGATACATCCTCTTCATAGTAGAATATTACATGCTACTATGTGAAAAAAAAAATGTGGAGAAGGATGAAAACTTACTATGTGCAAAAACCAAGGTAGAGAAGGAGAACCAGAGGATCATGCCAATTTGATGCAAAGGCGGTCCCTTGAATTCATCATTTATTCTATGTTCAAGAACCCAAATAAGAAGACCAATAGCGATAAAAGCTAAAAAACTTGTCAGCCAAAGATCCCAAGTTAGTGGCTTCAAAAATATCCATGTATTTCTACTTTGGTTGTCTGTGGGAACAATCATCGCTATCCCAGACTCAGTATATGCCAAAGAAAAGTCAACATACAGCGACCTGTTTGCTGTGATTGCTATGTCTCCAGCGACTGCATCAAAATTCTAGTAGAGGAACATGAAGTACAATTCAGGACTCTGGCCTTTCATGAACTTAGCAGACAAGCTATAACTATTAGCAAACGTGATATGTTATTATATGATGCTTTGCATGGTTCAGTGTGTGGCTCTTGTGGAAAAGGTTGACGAAACTTCAAAAGGTTGTAAATTTTGATAGATGTCTTTCACCATTGTTGTTTCTTTAGCAGCAGCATCATAAATTGAAAATTGACATCCATATTTAATATGTCTGTAAACTAGAGTGAGTAAGCATACAAGACTATGTGGTTTGTTTGTAGAAAAAACTTCTTAAAAGTAGTTGTCTATGTTCAACCAAAATGGATATCTCTATGTTGCCTGAAATAAAAATGTATTACTAGTATAAGAGGGAGAGAGACATTACCCCTAAATAGACTTGGTACGCCAAGTCATCGTAATTTCCAGCACTCATACCATCTGATGTTGCAAAAGGAACATACTCGTAAGGGATAGCATATGGTAACAAAGCCATTACTGCATCAAATATATCAATGCAATATCCTTCGACCATGGTTGTATTTGTCTGGGAGTTTCTTGTAACCTTTACAAGTTGACTAAATCGAGCATTCACTGGTACACCAACCCTCAACTTCTTCCCATTTTTTGGAATTGCCCAGCCCTTAGGAGGCGTTGCAGTGTCACCTGGCCACAGTATAGTTCCCAGTTTCTTTATAGTTATAGGGTTTATCTGCCTAACAATTCCTTTATCTGCAGTCCAGAAGCCAATTTCTTTTATGCCATTACCAATGACGTTTACTATGTCATAAACTGGAGATTCAAGTTGTCCATCAACTATAATGAAGTCTCCGCTTAGGCCTTGAAATGCTGTGCCTAACATTGCCTGCAAAAGCTTAGGACCATTTCTAGATACACCAAAACTTTCAAGGTCTGTAGTGTTCCCTGAGATATCTGACATTTGATCAAAGCCAATGTTTGAAACTCCTGCTTCCTCTATTGCCATTGCGAGTGCTGTTGTTGAATCATATGCCCATAGCCCAAACACATTCAATTGAGGATTGACGATGTCTGGATTGCTTTGTTGAAACTTCAACTTCCATCTTTTAATGAAGCTTTGAAGCTCTGCAGTATTAGGAACATGAGGCCTTACACCTAGTACTCCTTGCATGGTGTCAATGATAGAAGGATCAATTGAATTAAGCTCATCTGTTATGGCATCAGTGCATATCCAAGCATACCCTGCAGCCATCATTCCAAGTTGTTTTGCTTTAGCAAAAAGCCGAGAGCCAAGACTGGGCAGTAGATGAACAATGAAAACTCTAGTCTGGATAGTCATTAGCTTGTGAAGCTCTGCAACAATTTGCTCATCAGTGGCTAAAGAAGGAATGACACTGCGATAAGGGATGCGTGTATTAATTTTATCGAAGGCATCTGTCAAGAATGGTAAAATCCCTTCTCCAAGCTGATTATCAACGTAGATTGGCACAACTTCTCTCCATCCAAAGGCCTTGACAATTGAACTGATGGCTTTTACTTGAGATGAGTCATTCTGAGTAGCACGAATGAAGTATGGACTGCTAAGTGGTGAAAGAAATGTGCTTGTTGCAGAAAATGAGATGATCGGCACATGAGCTTTATCTCCAAGATCATTTATGAATTCTGCTTGTACTGATGACACCGGCCCCATGATAGCTTGCACGTCAGTATTTTTTAGTAGGTCTAGAGCTGTATTTTGCACAAGAAAAATCAATTAATTAGTTAGTTCACTTTTGAACAGATGTGTCAGCTTGCAACTGCAACTGCTAAATTTGTGATGAGAATAAACAATAACAAAACTGAAAATAGAATGATCCATTTGTAGATGAACAACTTGATGATCTAGATTATTTCCGTTTATATCATATTGGGCTCCTGGTTTCGTGTATGATAAAGAACAGTCATTTCCAGAACTGAAAACTTGAAGGCAAAATGTAGTCGTTGGTTAGACTATTATTCCTGCAAAAAATGAGAGCAGGGCATGGCCCCATAATAGACAAAACAAAACAAATTCTGAACGATTACTTGTTTGTAGGAATGAAACTTAACATCAGAAGTAGAATTCCTAGCTCTACAATGTGATAGATGGATTAGAACAAACTGTAGTCAAAGAATTAATTACAAATTATCCCCTTGAACTTTCTTTGGATTGCAAAGTGCTCCCGAACTATCAATTTCAGCACAATACATCTTCCAATTGTTAATTTTTTGCTTTGTACTCCATTCAACTCGTTGCCACCCAAATTGAATGAGTGAAAAGTCATTGATGTCTATGGATTTGGTTAAGTAACTAAAATGCCTTTTTTTTTCTGGTCTATAACCAACTTATATACTCATATATGGAGAGTTTCGTTCTTTTTCGTGTATAATGCTGAAATTGATACTTCAAAGAAAACCTAAGAAAGTTCACTGCGTATTTTGCTCTAATTTAAAACCACAAACTATTTTCATTCCCTGAAATCCCCGGTTATAACCCCCAGGCATATGTTTTGGAGCCTCTAAAGTACCCTTTACTACTATAGTAAAACTTGCCTAGAAGAACGGAAAGAAAGAAATAAAGGGGAAAAAGTCAAAAACATGCCTGCATGTAACTTGTCTATTGTAAAGTCAATAGTATGTTTGGATATTAGATTATTTGAAATACTATTTGGAATAATTATTATAGTATTTTTTAGAATGTGATTTATGTGAGATAAAAAAGATAATTGAGAATATAAAAAGTTCATTAGAAATTGCATTTGTGATGAAAGTAAAATATGTTTTAGTGGAATCTTCAACAAAGTCAAAACATATTTCTTAGACCAATTTTATTCCAATCAAATCGTTAAGTAATAGTAAGGGAAAATCATTTAAAATATGTCTCATCTTTCGTCAAATGAATTATTTCATTTTTACTTTTAAAATAATAACTTTACATCCCTAACAAAAATAAGTCAGTAAATCTTGGTTCCAACCTAAGTTTTCAACCATCTTTTGTCCTGAATCTATTACGTGATCCATACATCTTATTTTTTTAGGACCAAAAATTAGATCCCATTTGTAATTAAACAAATGACGCGATCTATATTCATTTTTCCCTAAAATACTAGAATCTAATTTGAATCATATTTATTTTCCCTTAAAATTGTGGAATCAATATAATCCATATTCAATTACCATTAAAAAAGTGGGATTTGACTTTTTTTGTCCGTAAAAAATGATTGCATGGGAATCAAATCATGTAGTGAGTTTTGACTAAAAAGTGGTCAAAAACTTAGATTGGGGCTAAATTTTTTAACTTCAATTTGTAAAGGACGCAAAATAACATTTCAAAAGTGAATGACCAAAAACTTTATTCGATAAAATGTGAGAGACATTTTGTCACATTTTGAACAATTTTTCCTAATAGTAAACTATTTCGTATATTCAACCAGCCGTGTGGAGGAAAAGTAGTTGGTCCTCAAATTGCAGTTTCCCAAATGTCATTTCACTGATGAAATGAACTAATTCCATGGATGAAAATTTTTCTAGAAAGAAGCGGCAAAAATGGAAATGGCAGGCCTAAAATCAAATGCGATAGACGCTTCTAGACGCAAAATTTTGCGCTGGCTGAAGACCTTTAGCAAATACTTCAGTCAACAGCCTAACTGTTTACGTTTTCTAAAGCAATTAGTTTCAGAATGATATGTAATATGGTGAAAATTTACACGCACATAACAAACAATCATGCGCGTTTCCATTCTGACGGTGATGTGGCACGCTTTTTATTTCCACAAGGAACGTAAAAGTGGGAATGGGATCAAGACAGAATAATTCGTTTTCGACGTTTTAGCCTACTATAGCTATTCTTTTACGCAGTTTATCGAACAGGTAATGGGCATTACATTCTGTCATCCTGGCATCTTGTCCAGGATATTTACCCACACTCAGCAGAATGGTTAACTAAATGTAGAACAAATAACTCATTAACTCAAACAAGAAATGAGTATTAGAACTACAACTTCACCAGAAAGTCAATACACAAGCCTATGCCACAGTAACTTGGCAACTTGCCCGAGTGTTTTGGGAATACCTTCTGAAAAAAATTGTATAAAAAATTCCAACGAGAAAAGATATCTTATGTGCAAATTACAAACCCATTCACAAGATAAAAGTTTCTAGAGATTTTTATTATTGCAATTCTCTTCCGACATATTTTTTCGCTGATTAGTTCCTCAAGGTTGCAGGTTTGTGCATGAGAAATGGGAGGGTTGGAGTTTATTTCTTTTGGAGAACTGAGAGGATGGAAAATAGGGATTTGGAGATTTATTTTTACTCCTTTTTTATATCGCTGCATGTAATAACAGGGAAAAATAAAAAGAAAACTAGAAAACTGTGACGGAGGAGGCGCTTTATAATCAAATGATGTTTCGTAGAATGGAGGAGGTGCATTAGCTTTCAGTTTAAAATTATTGGCTATATATGGAAATTGATTAAATATATGATCTGAAAAATAGTGGACCCTTTAATCTTATTTGGAGTTTTTCCATTAGTCTTGTCCAATATTAGGCTTGTCCAATAGTTGACGTTCTACAGTTTGGAAATTCCAAATACGGAATTTGTGTCGTCCAAGACTATTCCACACCTCCCTTGTTTCTTCCTCCCTCTGACATCCTAAATCTTATGAGTAAGCAAATTTTCTTGCAGAAACAGATATTGGAAACGAGTTTGCTTGCGAGAAGTTTATTGTACAACGATATGTTGCTAAATTGGAATCTGGGCCGGAGATTGAAAGAACAGAAAGCATTACCTGCAGCTGCAGCGCCAACCACATCTTTCTTCGAGTCCCGGTTGTTGAGGACAATCCTAGTCTTGTAGTCACTGTGGGAGGAATAGAAGTCTGAAAGAGCCATGGAGATGCAGCTCAACCCCATCTTTCCAATCCATGTGTCCATGTCTAGAACCACTCCCACATTCACGGGAATTGTTGTGTTCTTCTGTGCACTGACAATTTGCGATGGTAGAATCAGCACCCAAAGAATTTGTGGGAAGGAGAGGAGAAATGGATGGACTTTGAGATGTTTTAGTTTTTTCGGCATCTTTGCAGTTTGCGAGATTCATGTCTAGGTTATGAGACATATATATACGACTGAGGGTCGGTAGCCTGATCAGTAGTTAAGAGTACACAAGTGTTTGGAAGACCGGTTTGGACCGTTGTGTTCATCCAATCAAATCATGAAACTGGTCCGATTCATTATTCAATGCAAAAGTTATTTAACTAGTCAAATCAGATAAAGCCGATAAAAAAAAAATTAGACTTTTGAACTGATTCAACATAAATTTACTTTATTTTTTTAAAATTTCATAGTCATATAAGTTAATGATTAAAAGAATAAAAAAATCTTTAAATTAAATTAAACCAATTTGATTCATGAACCGAAAACTTATCCAATTCACTTAATAGTTTGGATTTAAAAACTTGGAATCTACTATTATAGTGTTGTTCCAAAATAGAAGTTTTAATTTTATATAATAAAATGATGCCTGTATAAAGCAAAGAGAAATCAACTTTTGATTGTTGATGGTTTTTGAGAAAACTTATGAACATAACAGAGGTCAAAATTTGAGGTCACTTGTGGATATTTGGATTTCTCTATCACTTTTAATCGGATATGCTATGACTGAGGCCGAATCATTCTTCGGCCCTCATAATTGCAACTGCACATCACAAGTTCTGAAAGAAAAAAGTATCATCTTAATAGCGCCACCTAAGCAATGTTTTAAAAATCGGACCGTTAATTGAACCGGTGACGTGAAAAGGTCAAGATTCAACCGGTCGGACCGGTTCAACCTCGGTTCAATGAATTTTAAAAAAAATAATTTATATAAATATTTATGCACAAAATAAGACATGTAATGGACTAATTTAATACATTATATGATGAAAAGTTTACTATTTTTGAATAACTTGATTTTTTTTAAATAAAAATTTTAAATTATAAGTTAAAACAAATAAATTTCATTTCAATTTCAATTATATCTATCAAAAAAATCTTAGATCTAACCCAAAAATATCATAATATTTTAAAATTATACAAAATTCATGTCTATGAGAATTTAGATTTTGTGAACTTAAATTTTAATTTACGTTTTGGGATTTAGAGATTGCAATTTAAAAAAGGAATTTTGGAGTTCGAAAGAAGTCAAGAGAATCGAAAATAGAAATGCAAACTTGATAAGAAATAAAAAATGAGATAAAAGTGAGTGGTTGTGGCATTAAATAATTTGGGTTAAAGAAAAATAATTCTTTTTTAACCTTTTTCAATTTAATGGACAAAAATAAAATTAAAAGATGGAAGAAAACGTCAATAAATTAAAAATAAAGTGGTTTGATTAAAAAGAGAGTGACAAAAAAAAGAGGAGAGAGAGAGTGTGTGTGTGTGTGTGTGTTAAAGATTAAAAAGAAAGAGCCATGAGATGATTAGATTTTGTAAAAAAAATGAAAAAAAGAAATATGAGTTTTTGTTTTATGTAAATAAGTTATCAAAGAAAAACTAATAAGATGTGATGGTGCAATGGTTACTACATTGGTCTTTTATTATAAAGGTCTTGAGTTCGAATCTTGATAGCTGCATTTTGCAAAACGTAAAAAAAAAAAAAAAAAAAAAAAAAAAAAAAGGAAATCTCGAAAACCGGAAACCGCTGGTTCAATCCGGTCCGGCGGTTTCCACGGTTTAACCGGTTTTCTAACCTGGTCAACTATAGCATAGAACCGGACCGGAGCCATGGCCGGTTCGCGGTCCAACCGGTCGAACCGGCCGGTCCGGTCCGGTTTCAAAACACTGCACCTAAGTCTAATATTAGCTTAATACTATGGTCTTTTAATAACTGGCTATGCTGCAATTTATAAAATACAGGACTGTTTAGGTGATTTGGACGGCACACATATCCCAGTTTCAGTTCCGGCAATAGAGCAGATGGCCTACACAAATAGGCATGGTACTTAATCACAAAACGTATTAGCTGTATGTTATGTGACCATGATATGCGATTCATTTATGTCTATGTCGGATGGGAAGGTAGCGCGCGCGATGCACGGGTGTTAGAAAGTGCAATGAGAATGCACACCGATTTCCCATTTCTCCCCCCAAGATTATAACTTTTGTGTATTATTTATACGCCATGGATGCTTTTATATATTGGGGTTGGACTCTCTGGTTGGTATATAATTTTTCCCCCTTAATTGAATGTATTTATGCAACTAAGAATATTTTCGCAGATGTAGGCAAGTTCTATCTTGTTGATGCGGCTTATAAGATGGTGCCAGGTTTTTTAGCACTGTTCAAGGGAGGATGTAACATAAGAGCTGGACAAGGACGTGGTCGAGGCCAAGGGCCGAAAGAGCTATTTAATACTCGTCACTCTCAACTTCGTAGTGTAATTGAATGCTCCTTCGGTGTCTTGAAGCAACGATTTGCCTATTTAAGGAGGCCGGTTCCATATTCATATATGCAAAAGCAAATCAATGTCATTATTGCATGTTGTGCACTACACAATTTTCTTAGGAAAAATCAGCTTTCGGATGATCACTTCATGATGTATGAACAAGAGGACATGCAATTCGAAGGCGAATGCGGAGCTCCTCCATATCCACAGATACAACCGTTGACGTCCTCGCAAGAAATAGAAGAATGGAAGGGGATGAGAGAAGAAATGGCTAATCAAATGCATGCTGCGTCATGAAGGTGGAGACAGTAGGTGAATGAGAATCACTGGCTAACACGCTATAGGTGTAGTAGACGAAGTGAGGCTGCACATGTAACTAAATGAGGTGTACGGTGGAAATATCCCAACGGATGCATGCTAGTTTTAACTCTTCGTAATAGGATGAGTGGTTCTTAGTAGAAGTATTATTGAAGTCTTCGTATAGTAGGAGATGTAGATGAGTGAAATAAATTGTGCTCCTCTTGTTTTTGTGACTTGGATTTGTCTTTACTCAAATTGGTAGACGCATTTTATCTCTTCCCATATATACTCGTATTTTGTTGAATTCCATATCAAGAGAAGGAACTTCAAGAATTGTTCCCACGCTGGTGCTTAGTACTAGTCAAAGTACTAGTAGACCCACATCTATTTAAGGCAAACAGCCTTGGTTCAGCTTAGATCGGACCCATCCAAATAGTTCCACCTAAGAAGCAACTGACAACTATATCGTGCGACGTACATCTGACTTTGCTCCTCTATTCCTCAACTTCTATCCTCATCAGTAGTGAAAATTAGTCCCACGTTGAATAGCCCACATTTGAGGATCCAAACGTTATTTTGGTTATGTTTCATAATTTGAAGGAAAGGTAAATATTATTGCAAATAGTACCTATCCAAACACACTCTTCGTAGATAGATGGGTTCTTCTGCAAATAATAAAAGTAGGGCCATTTCTTGAAAAGCCGAACAAATTCATTAGGGTTAATTTCACATACGTCCATTGAGGTTTTTGACAATTGCAGAAAGCTCCCCTTAAGTTCTAAAAATTTGACTTACCTTTTCTATTTTTATTATTTAAGTAACATTCTAAACCAAAAAGGCTATACTTTTTCTCAAAATTCCTATAATACCTTTGAGTTATAATTTATAACAAAAATATAAAGGAAAAAATGGTTCACAGTCTCTATTTCATTTATCTTTACTTGCTATCATTATTATCTACCCACCAACATCCAAATTACCATTAAATAAATATTTATCTTTATTCTGATGTTCCACTTTTACCTAAAAAGTTCTGATGCAGACCATTGTATCAACTATAAACGCTACATCAGATAACCAGAAATTTACCTACAATCTCATATCAATATCTAATTTTACTTAATACACAACAATATTCATCAATATTTCTAAACTTCAATTCCATGTTGCCACCTTTTTTAATACAAAATAATCTAAACCATTACTACTAATATCAATATCCAATATATTCCATTAGCACAGAGTTCAAATCAATCAAATTCTCTCTATAGGAATAACATCTACAATTGTAAATCAAAAATAGAAACACAATGTAGTTATAAATATATACCAAAAACACTTTTTTTTTCATAACAACTATAACAGTATAACCTATATTTAGTTCCTATTCCACTCCCTATCCTTAATTTTTATTTTTTATTATTGTCACTATCTTCATCTCCATCTAATTTGATAATGAAATTAGCACTTAATTTGTCATTGACAATTTCAATTTGCTAATGCCTATCAAAAATTAGAAACAAAAATGGGCGCAAGGAAACTATTTAATAATAATGAAAAATCGAGAATTGGGAATAAATACCAAGAGATGTAAGTATTGGTAGGTTGGTATGTATGGTGATTTTATTAATAACAACAGTACACATTTGATTGATAAATAATAAATAAATGAGTTTGAAAGGAAAATAGAGATAGGCGGAAGAGAATAAACAGTTAAATGGAAAATACTATGTTTGAATAATGATTAGTTGTGCATGTGTGTGTGGGTGTGAGAGATAGAGAAAATAAGGCTAAACACAGTTTCATATGTCTAAAGGTACAAAAAGCTTTCACCTCTTCTTGAACATCAACCTTTAGATATCCGAACATTAGAGCAATCTTAAGTCTCACTCTCTTAATTCCGTTATACTCTTCGTTGCCATATTCAGCAATGTGTCTGCTTCACTTCATTATTTTGTTCAGTAGACTAGGATCTATAAAATGAAAAAATGCCTCAGTTTCCATTGCATTCTTGGTATCCTGCTCAGTGGGTTCCCTGCAACAGACAAACAATTAGTGATAGGCAAAAAATAGAAATGTAATTCAAGAGTCATAATGACTTGACAAAAAGTGAAATAAAAAAAAGACCTCTTTTTCAAGATGAAGGCTAAGTTCGATAGCATATGGGAAATGGCTTTTACAGACCAGGCACACAAATTTGTTAGCTGTATGTCTATCATCGTTGTGGCTTTGAAAACTTTTCTCATCTTTAAACACCTTATCGCACTTGTAACACTGCCATGGCGTGATGAATGTTGCGGGTTGAGCATTTTCCATAATAGCCTACCCTGCATAAATTTAATCTTTACTAGAAGAAGAAATGATACAATTGGAATCCGTTTTTTTTGTTCGATTTTTTTAAACTCAAACGCAAAAGAAGAATTTGTCAAGAAAAAACTCAGAGGATGATATAATGGAAACTTTTTGTATTTATAAACAATCATAGTCAGTTACCTGGAGTAGACTACCTCAAGTCGGTTATCCGTAACTGACTAACTATTGATTCTTGCACGAACTATTTATTGTTGTATCCTTGGGGTTCGGTTGAGACGGTATAAGCGGAACGTTTGCCTGATGTTCTTCCCGCCATTTCATTTTAGGTCTTTCTCGTTGCTTCTTTTACTTGGCTTTCCTGCATTAGTTGTTGTACAAGCTTTTTGATTTGTTTTCATATCTTTTTGTGTTTATTAATGGTTTTTCGGTCATTTCAGGTTTGTCTTGTTGCTTCTTTTACTTGGTTTTCTTGCTTTAGTTGTTGTACATGCTCCTTTGAATTGTCTTTTATATCCTTCTTTGTTTGGTTTGTTGGTGATTTCGTTTCATGCCTGATTCTATTGGTCATTTCATCTTCGATTTTTAGAGCCCTTTCGGGTTGCATTTTCTGGGGATTTTTTTTTTGAAATTAATGTAGCACTTCTTAAAGATGTGATGTATATGATGTAAAAAAGTTATTAGAAAATATCTAGAAGGAATATTTCATGAAAAATGCAAAAAAAATTTCAGCAAAATCACAATTCAAACAAATATTAGAGCTTAACTTCTCTATGTCATGCTTTTGGTTTCTTCTCTTGTAAATTTGTCAGTTTTGCCCTCATTTAGGATGTGTTAGCTTTTTTTTTTTTTTAAACACTTTATTTCATGGAGTTTTAATCAAAGTGCTTAATCATATTATTTGTAAGTATCATTTTTTCTATTTGATAATGTCTAATTTTAAGTCTTTGAAACGTTTATCTCTTCATTTTAGCTCAAAATTTTTTTATCATAAATGGTTAAAGTTAATTCTTCATTTTTTTAAAAAACACGAATGTTGTTCTAAAAACATCAAATTTGCATTTGTGCCAAATTTGCTTTTTGCAAAAACTCTACTATTAAATTTAAGAAATGATATTCACCAAATACTTTTATTCTCCAAAAATATTTTTTTAAAGCAAAATAGCACCGCAGCTATTAGCACAAGACTTTTAGGCTCTAAGATGAAAATTGCAGGCTTGGCCTTGTGTAAAATCCAATTCTGGCCTGCAAGTTTGCCAGACTTGCCTCCTAATTGCGTAATGAACAACACAAACACGAAAATGCTGTAGGGCAACTTTATTCATCTCAAATTCTGAATCAACGGACTCTGTCTAAGGTTAGTTTCACATCTACTATTTTAGTAACATTTTCCATGAGTAACTAGACGTTTTGGCATTCACAAGAAATACTATCTCTTTCTTGCTTTAAAAAAAAAAAAAGAAATGCTCCCTCTTTCTCATTTTGATAGTTTTTAAATTTTTTACACAATTTAAGAAAAATTAGTTAATTTGGTTGGAAAACTAAATTTAGCCTAACATTTTTCTAAAACACCCTTATATTAATATTAGAAATATCACTAATCATTATACCTTTACATTAATTAAACAATAATAATGATGGTATATTACACCATCAAGACATATATTGAAGCAATTGTTAGTGAAAAAAGTGACTGTATTAAATAAGATAGGTTGTACTTAATGATAAAGAAGTGTATTAAATAAGGATACTTTAGAGAAGCAAAAAATTAACTATATTCTTCTCATTGCACTATAATTTGAGATGAATAAAAAGGAAAATTGTGCATAAAAAAGTAATCCTTATAGCAAAAAATTACTATACTATTAGTGCATTGAATGCTAATCCTTATATCTTACTTAACAAAATTTTAGAACATGTATTATATGCATATTCAAAATATATTACACAACATGTTTATCCAAATCAAGTTAGAAAAACAAACACAATGAGCAAAGAAGAAAGAAAACCAAGAGGAAGCAGAGATTTGGCCAGCTAGCATTTGGACCGGTGACTTTTGTAGCTTTTTTTTTTTTTTTTTATCAACAACGATAATAATTTGTATAATTTATTCTAGTCTAATATAAGGGGAAAGGGAGGAGAAGCCAAAACTAGTGACTCGCGAGAGACAAGAATTAAATCCTTGACCTCCCACCTCAATCAAGACTTAAAGGATTTCTTGGTTGTAACTTAGGACTTGAAAATCTTAGTAAGATAGGAAGGGGAGGGTCCACTGTTGTTTTGTGATTAAACGTGCCTCTCATTATGTCTATGCAACGGGGAGTATCTCTCACTTTCCATCCCAACCAATGGGATGGCCACAACAAATTGGCATGTATCAGCCTTGGTATAAAGCAATCAATAATTGAGCTATTCGCGAGTAATTTGTGAGCAGTTTAACTAGATAGATGATCGAACTCGGGTCAAATACGAGATGATATTGTGCTCGAGTACTCATTGAACAAAATTATTGAAATGCCTTAACTTTTAGATAATTTACATATTTTACCTATAAGTAATTGAGTTCTAACACAATTTGGAGATACTTTAAATTTTGGAGATATATTAAATTTTATCGAGTCAATTTCAAACATTAAATTTAGCATTTGATCGAGTTCAAACTTGAGATCGAATACAGGAAAATTGTTCAATGTCGAGCAGATAATATTCGTACTTGACTCGACTCGTTTATACTCACATCTTGGTCTTCAACTCAAGGCAACTTGAGTGTGTTTGAATAGGAGATTATTTAAAATAATACTTTAAAAAAAATACAGTAGTACTTTTTTTAATGTGATGTATGCAAAATAAAAAAAAAGATTGAAAAGATAAAAAATTATTTAAAATATATTTATGATGTAATCAAATAAAATTTGGCAAATAAACCATTATCCAAACACACTTAAGAGATTTCGTAATCGTAAATGGAGCAAACCGCAATCGTAAATGGATCGGTTCTTCTGCAATTATAGGAGAGCGTCCATATATCAATAAGCCAACTAAAATCGTTAAACTCCTATGGGCTTAAATCACTCTAAGGCTTAAACTTGTGTTTGGGCCACGTGGGTCCCATATGACAGACAACCTTTTAATTGTGGCGCTCTTTCGGCCGTCCCAGTCTTCCCGGTCTTTCAACGTTTTAAACAACTTTCATACGTGCTTTTCTCCGGATAAAATGTTTATATAAAAGGTTAGGTCGAGTCCTCATTACTCATCAGATCTCAATTGCTATCTGCAAGAGCTGGAACCTCATCTCTAATCCCTCACTACTGACCACCCCTGAAGAGCAAGATGAAGTTAAAAGTGTTTGCTGATCGCGGGTCTCAGCCATCACGGGCAGTTCTCATACTCTGCAAGTAAGGATTTTTTAATGCATTTGTTCTTTTTTCTTGATTTCTAACTTCTCTCTCTCTCTCTTTTCATTTTGAGATTAATCAATGTAAATTGTTTTCATGGCTCTTGGGCTTGTCTGTGAAAAGGGCTAATGGGATTGAGTTTGAAGAAGTCCAAATCCAGCTGGCTAAAGGGGAGCACAAATCTCCTGAATACGAAGGTGAGTAAGTATGTTGCTGTACAGTCTTCTTGTATGTTGGGTCAAAATATAAAGACAGGATTTTTGCCTTTTCCTTTCTGGAATATAATCATGAATTTGATCTTGTTTCAGCAATCAATCCCATGAAGCAAGTCCCAGCAATAGAAGTTGATGGAAAATTCAGGTTTTTTGAGAGGTAATTTAAGTGTGAAGCTGGAAGATATGTATAGGACTCTTTAGTTTCTAATCATCAGATGGGAGAAAGAACCGTGATATGTTTTTATTCTTATGGTTTTGTGCGTTAATTTTTGCTTCTGGGCCAGCATCTAGTGCGATATAAAGGAAATTATAGTTTTCCAATTGCTAATTGTTATGCTTTAGAAAGATTTCTTTTGAAAAAATCTCAAAATTTTGAAGGGGTAAAACTAAATCTTTTGAATTTTGGATAGCGGGTGCCCCTCTTATGCTCTGTGGGAAGTGTGATGATCCCGTGTGTCAAATTAAGGTTCTTCGTCATGCAAATTGTTATGGTTGATATATGATGAAATTATGTTAATTGAGACTGATCCAATGATGTCAATTTAGGTTCTTTTCGGTCTTACTGACATTGATTTGTAGTAATATACTCATAAGTTGAGACTTAGTTCCATTTCCATTTCTGGTACTCATGGCCTGCCTTCGTCTTCCCTGAAAGAAAGGAAAAATGAAAAGAAATGAAGGGAAAATAATGAAGCACAAGTGGCTGCTCTGGTTTTTTCTGGATTTTTTTCCTAGTCTCCATTTATTTGATCTCATTTTCTCCTACCCGTCTTAGCTAACTGATCCCTGGACTTTCTGTGCGCAATATTAATGGAATTCACACATCTAATGTCCTCTGCAGTCATGCTATCCTTCGATTTCTGGCAACTGCTTTTCCTGGAATTGCAGAACATTGGTAAGTCTCATCATTGTGCATGCTAGTTTAGAAGGTGTTTCACATTAAATAAACGCATGCTAGTTTCTAAGACAAATATGAATTCAGTCGTCCCCTAAATTTTATTTCAATATGCTAATGGACTCCCAAAAGCAGGCACCATTACAAGTGCCTCTATTTTTTGGCCAGTTATAGATCCTACATATGCTTTCACGTCTGTTATTTTCTTTGGATATCCGTTCTAATCTTTCTTGATGCCCTAATTATGGACAGTGGGAAAGGGTACAAAATCAGAGTCAAGGTTTTCATGTATTTATATAAGTGGGCATGCTTCTAGAATACACGGATATTCCATACAAACTGGTTGTCCTAATCCTAGTTCTACATTCAGCGTTTCCACTAGCTGATGCTGGAATGTGCTCTAATTATTGATTTCACAGTTCTTATTACTCTGAACATTCATGTTCCAAGGTATCCTGCAGACGTGTTCAAAAGAGCACAGATTGACTCAGCTTTAGATTGGCATCACTCCACTATACGACGGGGTTCAGGTGCTAATCTTTGGTTTTGAATAACTATTCTTGTTCTATCTGTGGTCTGGTGTTATTGGAAAGCTATTTGTCACCAAATTACAAAAAAAATTAAACAGGGAATTGTAGGGTGAATCTTGATAATAATATAAGAAAGATCTGGGATGGTTTTGAATGAGCTCAATTTTCCTTGTGGGAATTCTGGGTTTTGACATCCACCTCTCATATTTTGAACAAAAAGACATGAGATGAATGAGTGGTACATTGTTCTCGTCTCCTTGCTAGAGTCACTTAACAGACTGCAAAAGATGAGTATATATGAGGGTCGCTTAACACTTAAACGTCCATGACCAATTGGGCAAAAATGTCGAAACAAGCAAATACTTTGAACTTATTATCAAAACCCAAGTGCAGCATGTGAAGAAGTCTAAGAATCATGGTAGAGTTACTGGATATAGTAGAAATCTTAGTCTGAGTAAGCTGGCCTGTTCCTAAAATTTGGCAATTGGAGCAGTAAATGTTTGTTGGCCGCCCATCCCTTATTGAAGAACTGCAGAAGGAAAAATTAATCTTTTTGAATAACTGGATTTTTGTCTAAAAATGACCCAGTTACATATAGAGCAGTCTCATTTTTATTTTCCGTCTTCATGATCAGCACTGTTTACCTGTTAATGTTGTACCGCATTCTGAAGTATGCTTATCTTGACAGTTGGGGTAGTCATCAATACTACGCTTGCACCTTTATTTGGCCGGCCTTTGGATCCTCAAGCAGCAGCAGAAGCTGAAAAGCTCCTGTCAGCTTCTTTAGCAAAGATTGAATCCTTTTGGCTCAAGGGTGATGGACCATTTCTACTGGGAAACTCTGAACCTTCCATAGCAGACCTGAGGGGTTAAATCTATACTTCTTATGAAATTCACACCAGATGCAAACAACATCCAATCACACATCGAATACCCAAACCAAAACAACAAGGCCTTGCAACTCTAACCACCAAAATTTAACATAGATGCAAGCTGCAGAAAACCATCGAAAAGATGCAAAACGAGAACGCAAGAGGCAATTTGGACAAAATAATCATCTTCTCCACTGAGCTCTACATCAGTTATCATCTCAGTTTTTTCTCGGACAAAACATCAAAAATCCAACTATCTATCATCCTCAAAAGAAGAATAAACTCGCACAAACCTCCTCTCATGATGCAGCTCAAGTTTATACGCAAAAGAAAACCGGCAAGAATATAAAACAAAAACAACAACACATCAAGAATTCTCAAAACTCTCTCTTTTTTTTTTTTACCCTGATCATCAACTATCAGGTTTTGTCAAGCGTTAAACTGACCAAACATCTGTTTTCCTTACACACAAAATATGAATCAATCATCCTTCAAGTAGAAGTTTCACTTGGGCATTTTAACAAACAGGGAATGGGCATGTAAAAATTCCAACAAATATTTACTCAATTTATGTTATAACCGGCCCCAAAATTATCAAAACAAAAAGGACTCTGGTCCAATTGACACAGAAAGCACGTACAATCCAAAATCATGAACAATTGACAGAAAAAATTGCAATAAATAAAGGCCCGGCAGACTGCTTTGAGAGCTTGACTAGAACTGAATTTTTTTAAAGAAAAAGTACAACTCACAGCGCTTTTGCTTGAGCGGCGGCGACGATGGACTCCGGTCGCGGTGGCGGCGGCTATGAGCAGCGGCGGTTCCGTTGACCTGAGCATCGGAGGGTTTGATTTGGGGTGATTGGCGGCTGTCGGCGTGGTCATGGTGGACTGATGATGAAGGTGGAGGTGGTGCCAGATTGAAGGCTCCAGAGGCGGAGCTCGCCGTCCCACAGCTGAAGTCGACTGAAATGCTCTTGCAGGCAAAGGCGGTGGATTCCAGCTTTTCCTCCTTCGCTCTGTTTTTTCCTGGCCGCTTGTTTTTTCTTTTCGCCGAGAGCCCTCCTTCCGTCGCCCGTTTCTTTCCTCTGTTTTTGTTCTTTTCCCTATAATTTTTCTACTACCGAAGCTCTCTCTCCTTCTTTCACCCCCTAGCTCTCCCCTCCTTTCTCTTCAGCCCCCTTCGTTGTTACCCTTTTCCCTCTCGAAGCCTTTCTGCCAAAACCAAACCCTAGCCGCTTCCTGCCTTTCTCTGCTCTCTTTTTTTCTTGTTTCTCTCCGTCTTTTTCTTCACCAATCTCCCCTCTTTCTGATTCTTTTCCTTAGTTTCCCGCAGCTTTTCCAGTCTTCAATTCGTCCGCCACTCCCTCATTTTTTTTTCTTCCATTTTCTTTTTCCTCCGTTTCTCCGTTTCTCCTTGTCTTTTTCTCCTTTTCTCTCTCGGCCTTCTCTGTTTTTCCCTTTTTTTGGTTTTGTTTCCGTAACCTTCCCTCTTGCCTTGGCTCTCCCTTAGTCTTTTCTTTTTCTTAGTTTTTTCTCCTTTTTTCCCGAAGCCACTTCCTCCATCTCTCTCTCTCGCTCCTTTGCTCTTTTTCTTCCTCTGTTTTTCTTCTTGTCTTGTTGCCCCTCTGTTCTCAAGCCTCTCCGATGGTTCTTCCTAGCTAAATCCCTGTGCGGCGCCCTTCTTTTTCCCCTTTAAAACTCCTCCAAAAAATTGCTCCTAAAATAAAAGGCCAAGATTTCATCCTCAAAATAAGTTCATGTGTCTTATTCTTGTCCCTTTGATTTTTCTTTTGATTTTTTTCTTTTTTTTCTCTAAAAAATTTTATGCTAAAAAATGTCTAAAATGAGATTAGTAAAACAAAAATAAATAATAATCATCAATAATAAAAAAAATAATAATGAGAAATAAAGCCAAAAATTTGGTGTCTACAGTTTGCCCCTCTTTGTCTGAGTTTCGAAGAAACTCGAGACAAAGATGTAAACACCAAATACTTACCCGTGTTTATTCTGCCGCAAACTACTTGAGCGACTGATGCTGTTGAAATAAGGACTGACCTCTTTAAACAAAATTTAAAATGGGACTGGCCCAAACAGGAAATTTAAAACGGGATGCACACTAGTGGGACTGACTCATGTTTAGTGGTAATGAAAATGAAATGCACACTAGTGGGACTGACCCAACGGCTAGTGGCAGTGTAAATGAAACGCACGCTAGTGGGACTGACCCATGTTTAGCGGCAATGATGATGAAATGCTCACTGGTGGGACTAACCCATGTTCAGTGGCAAAGAAAATAAGATGCACACTAGTGGGACTGACCCAACGACTAGTGGCAATGATGATGAAATGCTCACTGGTGGGACTAACCTATGTTCAGAGGTAATGAAAATGAAATGCACATTAGTGGGATTGACCCAACGGCTAGTGGCAGTGTAAATGCACGCTAGTGGGACTAACCCATGTTTAGCGGCAATGATGATGAAATGCTCACTGGTGGGACTAACCCATGTTCCGTGGCAAAGAAAATAAGATGCACACTAGTGGGACTGATCCAACGGCTAGTGGCAATGATGATGAAATGCTCACTGGTGGGACTAACCCATGTTCAGTGACAATGAAAATGAAATGCACACTAGTGGGACTGACCCAACGGCTAGTGGCAGTGTAAATGAAATGCACGCTAGTGGGACTGACCCATATTTAGCGGCAAAGAAAATAAGATGCACACTAGTGGGACTGACCCAACGGCTAGTGGCAGTGAGAATAAAATGCGCACTAGTGGGATTAACCCATGTTTAGTGGCAATGAAAATAAAATGCACGCTAGTGGGACTGACCCATATTTAGCGGCCATGAAAATAAAATGTGCACTAGTGGGACTGACCCAAGTTTAGTGGCAGTACAAATGAAATACTGGTATGTCTGAAGAAACTGTATAAGGCTTGCTTGGAAAATTATCCAAAGATTTACCCCAATGTGTTGAATTGGTCAGTGGGATTAAACCCGAGTCTGCCTTGAGAATCGGTCAGTGGGATTAAACCCGAGCCTGTCTTGATGATTGATCAGTCAGTGGGATAGCACCCGAGCCTGCCTTGACAATTGGTCGGTCAGTGGGATAGCACTCAAGCCTGCCTTCAGTCTGTCATTTGGTCAGTGGGATGAATACCCGTGCCTGCCTTGATGATTGGTCGGTCAGTGGGATAGCACCCGAGCCTGTCTTAATGATTCACTTGGATCGGTGGGATGAATACCCTAGCCTGCCTTCAATTGGTCAGTGGGATGAATACCCGAACTTGCCTTGATAATTGGTCGGTCAGTGGGATAGCACCCGAACCTGTCTTCAATCTGTCATTTGTTCAATGGGATGAATACCCGAGCCTGCCTTGATAATTGGTCGGTCAGTGGGATAGCACCCGAGCCTGCCTTGACAATTGCACTTGGATCAGTAGGATGAATACCCGAGCCTGCCTTCAATTGGTCTGTAGGATCCATATCCGAGCCTGCCTTGATAATTGGTCGATCAGCAGAATAGCACCCGAGCCTGCCTTAAAAATTGGTCACAAAAACCAAACCTAACAAAATGTTTGTGATGTTGGCAGCACAAAATCCAAACCCAACATGATGTTGGCGGCACAAAATTCAGACCCAATATGACAATAATGGTCAGGGGGATAAGACCCAATCCTGCCATGACATTTAGGGATGGCAATGGGGGCGGGTGCCCCCCGCGGGGGGCTCTCGGGGCGGGGGTTGGGGCGGGGGGTGGGGTGGGGAGGAATTTTTTCCCCTCGCTTAGAAACGGGGTGGGGGCGGGGGAGTATACCCTCGCCCCATCCCCCGGCCCGCCACCCGCAAAACAAAAAAAAATATATAATTATATATAATATGTAAGTTAATTAGTTATAAACTTATGATAATAATATTATTAGTTAGATGTATTATATAATGTATATTAGTTTATGTAATATAATTGATATTATCAATTATATCAATAATTATACATGTCTACTAATAGAATTTATTAATTAGTTATATTAAATTTACTAATACATTTATACTAAATTTCTAAGTACACTTAATAGAATAACATTTTTTTCTCAAAAGAAAGCACAAACACAATAATGAATTAGTGATTGCATTTGTACTAAAAGTGAAAACTTGACTGTTTTAGTTATATTTATTTCATCATATTGGATTGTATTCAAATAACTTCTGTTTGATTGTTTTTATGAGTTTCAATTGTAAAATTACAATGAATAATAATTTGGTGATGTGTTGATATTTTAGTATTTGATTATTTATTAAAATTTAATTATAATAAAATTATATTAACCCCGCGGGGGCACCCGCGGGGCAAGGCGGGGCGGGGCGGGGGGAGGGGGAGGCAGGGGACGGGGCGGGGGACGGCCCGCCCCAACCCCGCCCCGTTGCCATCCCTAATGACATTAGTCAAGAAATTAAATGTGATTGTCAAGGGGATAGAAGGGTGCGCGGAGTACGTTGAGACATTGTCAACAAGAATTAAATTTGATTTTTAAGAAACAAGCAATTGATTGATTTTTTTTTTATTTTTTCTGTTTTTTGTTTTTGTTTTGTTTTTGTTTTTTTTTTAATTCTGACTTTTGATGATGATTTTTATTTTTTTGATTTTTGATTTTTTTTGATTTTTGATTTTTTGATTTTTTTTTGATTTTTTTGATTGAGAGAATCTTTTCAAAAATAATTTGTCACAGTGTCGGACCCTTCCTTCTTCTTTCTCCTTGCTTCTCTTTTTCCGGTATCGACCTTCCACCACAATAGATGCTTCTTCATCATTTCAGCCATAAATACCTGCACAGGGGGCTTATCAAAGTACAGCATGTACTTAAATTTCATGAAAATAACAGCGTGATTGATTCGAAAATGTCTTATTTGACTCTTGGACGAAATCCTCAAATGTGTTATAAAAATTTGCCCCAATGTGGGTTTCTTTTGTGAAATCTCATAAATAAAAATTTGTCCCAGTATGGGCCCATTTTGCAAAATCTCTCAAATGAAAATTTGCCCCAGTGTGGGCCCATTTAATTGCAAAAATTTGTTTGGATGACTCTCCATTTATTTGAACAATGTAGAAAAGTATGTTTCCTAACAGAAAATTTCATGATAAATTTCTCAAAATAATACCAAATTACAAGTGATTCCTTCCTCACTTTAGCATTGATGCTTAGGGTAATGGTCACCACTTCTTGTTAGCTCATCTTTCAGGACCAATCAAATGGGTGTTATTTCTGCTTTTGAGATGGCTAAGGAAAAATGAGAGATTAGGATTTGTCTTAAGGTTGGTACGCCAAAGAATTCAGACCGCCCAAAGCCGCCAAAAGAGTTATGCCGATAATCGAAGAAAGGATTTGGAGTTTACTGCTAGAGATTTGATATTTCTCAAGATTACACCGTTGAAAGCAAGGTTGATGTCTGGAAAAGGAAAGAAGTTACAGCCAAGGTTTGTAGGGCCTTACAAGATTATCCAACGTGTGGGGAGTGTAGCCTATAAATTGGAATTACCGCCGAGTTTATCTCGAATCCATAATGTGTTTCATGTATCTATGCTTAAAAGGTATCACCCAAACCCATCACATGTCTTGCAACCAGAGAGTATTGAGATTGATGAGACTTTGACTATAAGGAGAAACCGGTTAAGCTTCTGGATAGGAAGGTGAAGGAATTGAGGAATAAACAGATACCATTAGTAAAAGTCTTCTGGAAGACCATGGGTTGGAGGAAGCAGCTTGGGAGGTCGAAGAAGCAATTCGAGAAAAGTATCCAGACCTGTTCGCCAATCAAGGTAAATTTCGAGGACGAAATTTTCTTAAGGGGGAGAGGATGTGAGAACTCATAAAAAATTATTATTTTTTGACTCCTAATTTTTGCTCATTTAATTATTTATTCAAAAATTTGCCTCGATTATTATTTTCTAACCTTATTAGACTTAAATACATGGAGTTATGACTTCATTATATTTTTAACGCGACTCGTTTCAAAAATTAATTTTTTGGAAACTCGATTAATGTAAATAGTGAAAACGTGTCTGAAAACTTTAGCCAATTGGGAGTACAATAAGTTCGAAAACTTGGAGACATGTACAATGGTCCTAAAATAGGTAATTTTAGATTTAAATATTCAAGTGATAGTTAGTGGTACGATTGTTACAAGAATTTCTTGAAGGTTTCACTCTATCGCGCCTAAATTGGAAATACGCGTTTTCACGCGCGCGATTAATTAAGGGACTTTAGACCATTATTTTGAGACAATTAAGAGTGAATAATATTTGTATGAATATAAGTGCATTAGAGGTTTAGTGCACTAGTGAAACAAATGCGAGAGAAATCGAGCCCAAACGCGCCCTACGCGCACTATTGAGAGTTGACTTTGGGGTGATTTTTGCACCACACATTGTATCTTCCTTAGGAAGCTAAAATTGGACCAAACACTCTCTCTCTTAGTCTCTCTCTTGGCCGGCCATCAGCTGCAACAAAACAACTCCAAGCTTTGCAAATTTCATCTCCAAATCTTGCTCAAATCTTCACCAAATTCAACCAAAATTTAACTACACCTAGCTTGTCACTTGGAGAGCTCATCTAGCTATCAAAGGAGCTCATTTTTCATGGTTTTCTTGGGGCTTCTAAGGACCGAAAATTCTGCC